CTGGTTGCATTCTATTCTCGAAAGTTCTCTGCTGCTGAAATCAATTATGAGATCTACGATAAGGAACTTCTTGCTATAGTGGATTCTTTCCAAGAATGGCGTCACTTTCTTGAAGGAGCTGCACACCCAGTGACCGTATACACAAATCATAAGAATTTGGAGTATTTCATGTTGGCTCGAGTTCTAAATCGATGTCAAGCTCGGTAGAGTATGTTGCTATCTAGGTTCGATTTTGTTATCACTTATCGACCTGGAAAGCAGCAAGGACTATCTGATGCCTTATCGAGGAGATCGTATCTTGTACCAAAGGTTGGAGAAGTAGCGTTTGATCAACAATGTATGACATTGTTGAAGCCAAAGCAATTTCAACTTTGTACTACTATTGTACCAATTGATGCTGACTTCCTGAATCAAGTACGTGCCGTGACCATTGAAGATTTAGCAGCCATTGATATTAAGCAGCGTGCCAATGACGACAAGTTCAAGGTGGAGGGAGATCTTTTATACTTTGACGAGCAGTTGTATATCTCAAAAGGACCAGCACGACTCCGAGTTCTTCAATCTTGCCACGATTTTCCAGCTGCTGGACATTTTGGATTCAACAAGACCTTGGAGCTTATTTCTCGAGATTTTTGGTGGCCCCAAATGTGGAAGGATGTGAAAGATTTTGTCATCTCCTGCAACATCTATTCAAGATCCAAGAATCCTCGGCATGGCCCTTATGGACTCCTACAGCCATTGCCGATTCCACGTTGTCCACGGTCTTCAGTTTCCATGGACTTCATCACGGACCTGCCATCATCGAACTCATTTGATAGCATCTTTGTCGTAGTAGATTGGCTTACAAAGATGGCACACTTTGTCCCTTGCAAGAAGACATCGTCCAGTGAAGTCACAACAAGGCTCTTTCTCGATAATGTGTATCGATATCATGGACAATTAGTTGATATCGTATCAAATCGAGGAACCCAATTTGTATCAAAGTTTTGGAGATCTTTCCTTGAGATACTGAAGGTGGATATCAAGCTTTCTTCGACTTTTCATCCTCAAACTGACGGCCAAACAGAACGAGTGAATTAAGTCTTGGAACAATACTTACGATACAGCATCAACTATCAGCAAGACGATTGGACCACATATCTGTCGCTAGCCAAGTTTGCATATAACAACACCCTCCATGCGTCAACTCAATATACACCATTCTTTTCTAACTATGGGTATCATCCGAAGCTTGATTTATTGAGTCCGTTAACAAATAACAATCCAGCAGTTGAAGGATTTACGAAACAACTATCAGAGCTTCAGAATATGTTGAAGCTTCAATTAGAATTCGCTCAAGAATCCTACAAGACGTCTATAGATAGATTTTGGAATCAAGCACCTACTTTCAAAATTAGAAATAAAGCATGGCTTCTTCGATGGAATATCAAGACCAAGCGACCATGTGATAAGTTGGACTATCGAAGATTGAGACCATTTATCATCCAGAAGCAAATCAATCCAGTGGCGTACCGTCTGGAATTACCGGCTTCTATGAATGTACATCTAATCTTTCATGTTTCTCTGTTGAAGTCTTATCGAGAGTCGTCTTTTTCTGGAAGAGTGCAATGTCCGCCACCTAGTATTGAGATCAAGAACCACGAGGAATACGAGGTTGAAAAGGTGTTGGATTCAAGGCGAAGGTGGGACAAGTTAGAATATCTTGTTCATTGGTGCGGCTATGACATTAATGAGCGAACGTGGGAGCCAGCTGAAAATCTTGCCAATGCGCCACAAAAGGTATAGGAGTTTCATCAACAACATCCTTATAAACCTAAGCCGGTTCGACGATAGCTTTCTTCTAAAGCTTGCTCACCCAAGAATATAAGAAAAAGGGAGAGCACCACCAAAATTTGCAGTTGATGTAGTTATTTTCTCCAAGATAAAGTAGAATTTTTTCAGTAGCCATAGTTTGGTCTTTTGATATGGATAGTCAAGAGATAGATACTATGCTAGTCAGATTATCCCAACCGACTAGCTCACGAAGGCGACCCCGAGATGAAGAATCGCCTACACCATGACGACGACAGAGGATACCAAGTAACTGATCACTAGTGATTGTATTCGAGTTCGAGCCTGCTTACAATGGTCAGCCAGAAGGCGTATTTGCAGGACAATTTTATAATGAGGACACAGAAGTTCATGCTTGGTCAGAAGTTGAAGGAGTAGGCCACTACCGTTGGCTTCAAGGGCCGATGAACCACTTGCCTCATGAATAATAATTGGAGTTCATAGCAGACGTTATGCGACAAATCTTCATTTTCTTACGTTGGTACTGATTAACAACAACATTGCTTCTTAGAGACCTCGAAGCTAAAGGAGGGGGTGATGTTAGGAACATAGTCCTTAGAACCTTCTAGAGACAAGTTTCTAGAACCTTCTAGAAACAAGTCTCTGGAACGTTCTAGAAGCTTCTTAGTTGGTAGAAGTTGCTTGAAAAGCTTCCTAAATAGGAGTATATATTGGAATCGAGGTTGAAGAGTTCTTCAGTCTCGACAACACATCTCTTGGAGCTCTAGCTCACCTCTCTGGTATTGTTCTTGTATTCATCTGATTAATCTAGTTCTTGCCTGTTCTTCTTGAACTTCTTGTTAGATCTCGAGCCTGTATTTCTGTGTCCGTGACAGATATACTAGGATAGCATTAGTGAGATGAGAATAAAGAGGTAGTGTATCACTCATTGTAATAGATTTGCTATGAAATTTACTTGAGAATTGTACAAATCTTATATTATTCTTTTTATTTGCATTCTAAGCAATGAATCAAGTCACATCTACTTAGTTATAGATGGAACAAGATAGCACCAAGGACCTAAGAATGTAAGAATCTAGAGAGAATGTAGCTATACAGAGCTACTTTAGCCACTTAATTTTCTAGAATCTCAATACAACTAAAAATTGTTGGATGCTTCTCAAACTACACTTTAGAAAGTATTTCATACAAATAGAAAAGACAACTTATGATACCCAACAATTTTTTAAAGCAACACATTTAGAGTAGACTTTCATTTATTAGGGCATACTAGATAAATAGATAGATGAGATATCTAGAAGTTTGCAAGCAATTCTTAATGCAGATGGAGGTCATATTTAGTGGTAGTGAAGCTTAGATGATATGCTTGTGGTCCTATAAATTTTGTGAATACATGAACTCATATGTAGTTATGAGCCTCACCAAAGCAAACTTGTTTTTCATTGGCAAGGATACAAAGACTTATTATACACAATTGTACTTTTAAGGTTATCAAAAACATTACATAATATTTCTATTTATATAAAAAGATAAATATTTTATATCAATTACTCCATAAAATTAAAATATATATAGAAAATATAACTTATTTGAAATAAAATAATATTATTTTGGATATATACAACAAAAATAAGGATATTCAAATAATATAAGTTAAGATATTAATCTTTTTAGTAATATTCTATAGATTAGATTTATTTGTATCATTTGTACTTTTGATACACCTATATTATTTAGAAGAAATACAAAAATATGTACTTGAAAACATTTAAAAAAAAAACTCAAGTTATGTTTAATTCAATAATATTATATTTAATGTGGATAAAAATGCTATCATAATCTAATTAATATTCATTATAATATAATACAAAATAAAAATATGAACTTAAAATGTTAGCATATTAGATATTAATGATATACATATAGATGATAGTTAGAATTGAAGATATTAACATCAATGTCTTCATTATCATCTATATATATATATATAGGAATGATAAAGCGATCCAAATTTTTATTAAAGTGACCTACTCTATCTTAAGCATCATTGCACTCTTCAAACCTCCATCCATGTTCTCAATCATTCCCTATTCTCAGCTATTGTAAAGACATGGGTGGAAGGTTGGGAACTTTGGAAATGAAGTCAATAGTTGAGAACATGGGATCAAAAGAACGGTTGAAAATAGAGCATGTATGTCAATTTAGTAAAAATTTGGGTTGCTTTATTATTTCTCACTTTCTCTCTCTTTCTACACACACACACACATACACACACACACACACACAAATATTTATATATATATATATATATATATATATATATATTTTTTCATTATTTGACTTGACAAATTGATTTATATTTGATAAAAAATATGATTATTATTTTTTGATATAATAATAAGATGTTTATTTTCTTATTTTAGCTATTATATATCTTTAATTCTAATATGAAATTAATTTAGATAATTCAAATGATTAAACTACTTTTACAAAATATAATAAGAAGTTAATTTTTCTATATGTAGTATAAACCATTGCTAAAAAAGTATGTAAATAATTTTGAATTGAAATAAATGATTTTAAAGTCTTTTTAAAAATGTGATAGGAATATAGATTGTAATTATGTGGAATTTACATGACATTGTACAATGGACTTCAATTGTCACCACACACTCACATGCATTAGGATTATTCTTAGAAAAATAATCCTAATAAATCTTCTTCAAAAATATGTGCATGCGAGTTTAGCATCCCTACATCCTAATATCCTCTCACAAAAATCTATCCATAAATAGGACAAATCAATGAACATGGCTATTGCTTTCATAGAACAACCTCAATTACATTGCTATTATACAATACATCAGAACAAAAAAAACTATGCTCCAACAGTTTAAACATCAACAATCCACATGAAAACTCCAAAGAATAAAAAATATACTGATGCACCCACATGCTCAAATAACTCACAAAATGCACCCATCTGGTTCGGAATTGTTCTATCCATGAATCAATTGACCCATCTCAATTCTATTCATGGATAAAAATAACTAAAATAAACAAATAAATAAAAAAACGACTCACCACAAAATGACCCCTCTTCACACCCTAGCAAATAATGTAGCTGCCAAGCTGGCACTCGGACTCCACGTAGCCCTAACTCAAACGACAATTATAAAGACCAGCAATGTGGCGCACACCCACAAAGCCATGTGCACTCAATCCTGACCAAGTTCCACTCTGGAATCTCCGTTACCCCTTATTGAAAGATTCACATACGTTTCAGTACATCATATACAAATACAGTATATACAAAGGAGGGAGTATTTTTGTCTGCGTGTGTTTTTTTTTGCTTTTCCTGTTAGTAAGTAGTTCTGTTCGTAGCCATCTCGTCCCGTTTTGGAGAGGGGGGGCTATTGTGTGGCTATGGTGGTTTTGCTCATTTAGCTTCTCCTAAAGCTGAGGTTTGTCACAGTCTGGTGCCGCATTGGCGCAGGAGAGCTCACACATCGCTCCCATTCAATCCATGCACTCCTGCCTCGGTGTCGTTTGCTTTCGGAGTCGAGGTCATAGTGGCCCCTGAGGTGGGTTGTGTAGGATTTGGGTGAGGATTTTAGCCCAGCGGAGGTTTGTGGGTGTTGGGCTTCGTCAGGGGGTCGGATAGTATGGCCTCTATGGCGGCTACTTCGAGAGTTGCTGCTGCTGCTGCGGCGACGTCGTCGTTGCAATGGCAGATGAAAGCTTCAACTGCCACTGATAGCAAGTCTCGGATGGTGCTAGCCCCTGTAGCTAAAGGTTTGGGCTCATCTTCTTCGCTTCATAGGGGCTTTTCCGCGGGTTTGTGTTTTGAGGGTAGGCAGAGACATTGGGCGGGAGTGCAGAGGAGGACAGTGGCTGTGAGAGCCAGCGGTAGCTCGAATCAGAGCTTGTCCAGGCCTGCGGATAAGCCTCGGTTTATCCAGCACAAGCAGGAAGCGTTCTGGTTCTACAGGTTTCTGTCGATTGTGTATGACCATGTTATTAACCCCGGGCATTGGACGGAGGACATGCGTGAGGACGCGCTGGAGCCCGCCGACTTGAACGACCCCAACCTGGTGGTTGTGGATGTGGGTGGTGGCACGGGGTTCACTACCCTGGGTGTGGTGAAGACTGTGGACGCCAAGAATGTGACCATTCTTGACCAGTCTCCGCACCAATTAGCGAAGGCTAAGGAGAAAGAGCCTCTCAAGGACTGCAAGATTATTGAGGGAGACGCTGAGGACCTGCCATTTGAGACCGATTATGCGGACCGATATGTCTCTGCTGGAAGGTATGGTCTCTTATTCGGGAGTCGAGACTGCCGAGTATCTCTGGTTTTCGTTCAAGTAGGTTGGTAGAATTGTGCCCTATTTACTTTCATGAATGTATTTGTGCTATCTATCCGATGGACGTTTGAATCTGATGAGAGTGTTTCAGTGTGATAGCTGAAAATTCCTCGTGATAATGAAATCAAGCTTCTCAGTGTAGTTATCTGTATATTGTAATGATATACGCTATAGAACATTGTGAGTATCGATTTTGTTGACAATGTGTTTGACTTATATCACCTTTCCATATGTCTCGTTAAAAACGAGAAATTATTGGGTGTGCTAGTATCATGGTCTGCAGTTTATGTCCCTGGGACGGCTCATTCATGGCCTTGAAAGGTGTCAGAAAGTTTAAATCTTCTGTATCATTGTGTAACTTGAAGCACTGTAAAACAGCGGGAGTGTTCTGGAATATTCCTACTTGATCTTTTAGATTCGATGACCTTTTGAAGTGATTATTGCACTGTTTTCATTTTAACTGATTTGCTTCCGCATCCTCGGTGTGATGTTACCCATTTACATGGATAGAATGATGTGTCTCGAGCTCGAGATTATTCTGTATATCAAATTCGAATGGTTGATGTGATTGTTTTGTTTTAGATAAATTCTATTCTTCTAACCATTGCTCTTGTTTCTTGTAGCATCGAGTACTGGCCTGATCCCCAGCGGGGTATTACAGAGGCTTACAGAGTATTAAAGAAGGGAGGAAAGGCCTGTCTCATTGGTCCCGTGCACCCAACTTTCTGGCTTTCCAGATTTTTTGCTGACGTATGGATGCTCTTCCCAACCGAAGATGAATATATGGAATGGTTCACAAAAGCTGGTTTTACTGACGTAAAAATCAAGAGGATTGGACCAAGCTGGTACCGAGGTGTTCGTCGTCATGGTCTCATTATGGGGTGCTCTGTGACTGGAATTAAGCCAGAGTCAGGAGAATCCCCACTCAAGGTAAGCCAAATTCGTGGCTATCTGTATTTGCCTGATTACCTATGGATTCACGCATGCAGATTCTAAAAAAAGAGAATCAATATACCTTTCTTTAACACCACTGCAGCTCATGCAAGGACTTCAGCTATTGAAATGTAGTACTCCACCTTTTCTTTGCTTAACTCATTGTGTTTTTATTCTGTGTTATGCAGCTGGGACCAAAGGCAGAGGACGTGAAGGGTCCATGGAACCCATTTTCATTTGTTTACAGATTCCTCGTTGGAGTGATCGCTTCATTGTATTATGTTCTTGTACCAATCTACATGTGGCTCAAGGACCAGATCGTTCCCAAGGGACAACCTATCTAGAGTGCTGCCTTGCGGTCCAATATTACCATCTTTCTGTTGGTATTGCAGTGAAATGGTTTCCTGAATAGTGCTGTTTAGGACAACTAGCGCATTAGTGCAGGTTTTGTTTCATAATGTAGGAAATTGTACACTTTTCATCTGCCTTGTAGCAGAAGCTTGTTTAAATAGGCGCTGGAGGTCGCCAACCTGAAACACGATTTCCTTCACACACCATATCATGTTGAAAACTTGGCATTCTAAACTTCTGTTGATACACGTTTTCCAGTATCCAATGATGTGGACTGGTGGAGGCAACTTCGATCAACTGAGGTGTTATGTTGCTGTCTTTACTCACTCTTTGCAGTAAAGAGTTAAGGTGATTCTGTACACCCGTCATGTCTGTTGAGGAAATAATCACCATGGTCTTATTAGCGTGTGTCTCGGCAACCATTTCAGCAAACTATGTTCCGTATCAAGCAAACAATACTACAACATATCCCCTATTACCAGTATTCTAACTTCTGACATAGACGAAGTCAGGAACAGGGGCCCGCAAAGTCCGTAAGTACTTTTATTAAAATCCCGTCGCTTTGAACATGTCAGGATCTTTCATCCGACGGTTTGGCCGAGTGGTCTAAGGCGCTGGATTTAGGCTCCAGTTCGAAAGAGCGTGGGTTCAAATCCCACAGCCGTCATACGACATTTTTGTTTTTTTCTTTATGCTTCTGCTGCAACATCGATTTCGTTCTGCAGGATGTCAGAAACTTGTGCGGGTGCCTGGGATACTGCAAGCGATATAGTGAACCGTTGTGCTTTTGCAAGTTACAATTCACGTGATATGATATCATAGTAATCTCACACGCCCGCGCCAGGGTCCCTTCGTCACACCTGTTGCTGGATATTTTTTTCTGCGCTGTTAGTTGGGTGAAGTCGACGAAGCGCGAAGAAGCCATGAACAGCTCCGGTGCAAGCGGCTTGCTGTCAATTGTGAGTTGAAGAAAACTATACTTTCACAAGTTGAGTAATTGCTCGATTAAGAAGCGCGAGGTTATGTCCCGAGGCACCTCTTCAAAGCAGCTACTTAGCTTTGAAGATATTGAACCTTTTCGTACATACCGACAAGTGGGTATTCATACGATTGGGCCACACAAGCATCCATGAAGAATGCAACTAGCCGGTCCCTTTGTGAAATAGCTCGTCATCGGCACAAGTTGAGGCAACAATTTCAACACATTCCAAGAACGCAGAATAGACCAGACCCACCTTCCATCGACACGAATCATGGGCTATACAACCTCCAACATTAACCAGTTGCGGATGGCCCAAACGATTGAATTCCAGGCGACGTGCACGAGAGATTTAAATGATTTCCGTCTTCAGCATGAGCTTGTCAAGTAATATTCCCCAAGTAAACCCAGTCAACCTATTCAGAGGAAGCTTTGATTCTCGGGGATTGAGGCGGGATTATTCAGAATCATCGGCCAGACCTCAGTGTGATCCACTGCTACCCCATTCCGCCCCAGGCACGATTCGGGTGTCTAATCTTATCGGATAGGAGCTAATGGGAGATGCCTACACCGATTCCAACGCCGCATCAGATAAATTTCGGCGACGAATCTCAAAGCCGAAGCAACGAGAAGCGCACGCAACAGGCACGATCATCGCTGCGGAGGAACTTCTTCTGCTGGCGGGATTTGTAGCGTAGAAGAATCAAATGAGCCTTCATTGGTGCTTCGGAGCAGCTTTTGTTTTTTTACGGGCAGGGAAATGTCATCTGGGCAGCGGATGAAAAAGTGATGACGTGTCTGTCGTGTCATCAACCACGCTGTCAATTCATCCTCCACCTGTACCCCGCTGGACGCATCTTCTTCTGCTGCGGAGTACATTCGTTTCCGACGTGGCATCGGCCTGAACGAATAAAAGGACATATCTTACTTTTTTAAGGTTCTATTGAAGATGTCGGTCGTTTGTTGGACTCGGGAAAGTATGTGTTATCTATTGGATCATGTATTCTTTTATTAACAACAATACTGGTGATGTAAGTTCGCTCCATACACCAGTGTTTTCTATGAGGGAGGAATGTGATAAAATATTCCTTTTGTCCTGAATACCCCAATCTTTATAAATATATATATATATATATATATATACATATTCCCCTGAAAAATTCAATGTTGAATGTAATTTTGAATATAATGTTGAATGAAATTTTCATGTGTTTGAATATTTTAGACAGTGAATTATACTTCCCTTATATGGAATTGCAAAAAACTATCCTATATATTCAAGAGTTATTTTTTGTATTGAATAAATTACATATGTTATGTCATACCTCTCTATAGATATCACACACACACACACACACAATGTGTGTGTATATATATATATATATATATGTATGTATGTATGTATGAAAATACATACATACATACACATATATACACATCAATTTTTGTATGTCATAAAACTGCATTTGCTACTGTAGTCAATCATTTGAAGCTTAATGAAATACAAGCAAAACAAAGAGGAGGAAAATCATGTCCTTTTCTACATTTAGCATAAGAAGATTGTTTTTTTGTTTGTTTGTTTTTTAATTTTTTCATGTTGTTCCCCTTTTTATCAGGAAAGATCACACAAAAGGGAAGGGGCACGGCCTGGATTCAGCCTCAGAAGGATCAGAGGATAGAACGGGCCGGGCCGGCGGTGGCGGCGGCGGCGGCGGCACAATGAACTCGACCCGCGGCGAGGCTGACGTGGCTCCTACTCAGTTCAATGCCTCCTCGTCACCTCCTCCCCTGGGCCTCACTAAATCACGAGAAACAGAAGGTGATGAGAAAAAGAAGATAAAGAAAAAGAAGGAAAAGGAAGGAAGGAAGGACACAAACTGCGGCGGAATCCTCCAGTTCCAATAGGAAATCCATGAACGTGGAATTGGATCACGACCAAGTTCATGATGGAAAGAAACACACACACGTTCACATGCTCACACACTCACTCTCAGTTAATAGCATTCATTACCTTCGATTCTGTTGGATTATTCGTCGCAATCTTTGCTCATCTCACCCCAACTAAGATCGTCGAACCATTCGCAGCGAGGTTTGTTTCCACTCGAAGACAGCTCTCCGGATGCTCGGAAGCTGATAATGTGGGTTCATACCAGCACAAAACGACAAAACAGAAGTATAAAGGAGAAGAAAAAGACGACGAAGAAGAAGGGAAGAAGAGGAATCGTAGCGCGGCAAGGACAGTCTTTGATGCCAAAGACACTGCCCGATTTTGGCTGCCATCTTTCCAGTGTTTTCGTGCCGAATGTGGTCCTATACAATGAACCAGGCACCAGGGTCGAGAAAAATCACACCTTTGGGAGCTGACCCAGCTGCCCGAAATAGTGCCTCGCACTCTCTACTTCCTCACTCGTTGCTGCAGCGGCCTGGTCGTGTGTTATTATTGCGCTTGAACGCTGAAATCGGCAGATTTAAGACGGCCCCCACTTTGCATAACCGAAGGAGTGGGTCTTTCATTCGTGTCCTTGTAGCTCGATCTCGTCCAAGCCTGTGCAAATTTTTCTGCTTTGGTTGCGAACTTACGAGTCCAGGACCGGGCTGTTGAGTTGCCTTCACGTCGGACGCTAGTTTCTGTGGAGTTGGCAACGAGTTCCGAGGCTTGGTTTGCGGCACTTGGGTGTTGCTTCTAATCTTTGTTTCTTGCATTTGATTGTCTGGTTCGAATGTGTTTCTGTTGGTGGAGTTTTCGCACTTGTGGAATCGTTTTTGAGGTTGTTTGTTTGATCAGCTGCTGGTGTCTAGTTTTCCATGTTGACATGGAATGTCCGTGTCCGCGGGCTCTTTTTTTTCCAATCCCAATCGGGTTTTGTAGTTCTGTTATAGAAAACGGATTCATTGTTGCTAAAAAGCAGTGTTAGGGGGAAGATTTTCAAGATAATGAGGTTCTGAAGAGCTCCAATGTGATTTAACGGCGTTAGAGTTCCTATTTGGAGACACGTGCTTAGGAATGGTTGCTGGAGGAGATTTTGTTTTTGTTTTTTTTTTTGTCTTGTTTCGAGTTCATTTGGCTAACAACAGTGTGTAATTCCACAGGACACGTTTGAGGGTGACGGAAGAGATCTTTGCTGCGAAGCTTTGAGTTTATAAGGCAAACATTGCGCTGAGCTGATACCACTTTCTTCTTGATGACCATCGGTGATAGTTGTCAGAACTGTGTGCTCAGCAACCCATCACTCTCGACTTTGGAGTTTTTTTCTGCCATCATTGTAGACGTGATTAGTAAGTTCGCTTGATTTTTTGAGGTTGCGTGCAATTCCAATTTAGTACTCTGTCGAAACAATATAAGTACTTCAGATCCGTCTTAAAGTGTAGTTCTGCATCGTCAGTGGACTTCATAGCGGCTAGAATAAGGCAGAGTAGCTATGGGGAGTGAAGGGCGGGTGTTGAGATACGGTATTATCGGAGTGGGCATGATGGGTCGGGAGCATTTGTACAATTTGGCTGCATTGCCTGGTGCTATGGTGGTAGCCGTGGCCGACTCTCACCCTGGCTCTCTTGAAGCAGCTCTCGCTGCCACCGCTGGGCTAAAATCTGCTACACCTTCTCCCCCACTTAAGGTGAGAACAACCCACGCACTCCTAAGGAATCAATCATCTGACACAAAAAAAACATTTTCCTCAACGATGGATTACTCAATTCTTCGCAGGCTCTTTCTTCACTCCATTCCCCCCCTGTCATCGCTTTCGCGTTGGAAGATTTGGCAGGTCATTGTGTTCACAACTAAGTTTTCGTCTGCTGAGGTGATTGGCCTTGAAGTAGTGCTCATTGCTCTACCTTCCCAATGTGTGCGCAGGTCTTCACACACCATGGCGCGTTGCTGGACAGTGGGATGTGTGACATTGTCGTCATAGCCACCCCTAATATGACGCACGCGCGAATCCTGCTGGATGTTCTTGCCCATCCCAAGCCGCATCACATTTTAGTGGAGAAGCCTCTTTGCACCACTGTTGAAGATTGTCACAAGGTCATCACTGCTTCCTCTGGTTCTGCTGGAGATCTTTGCTGTGCCTTTGTTTAAAATGTCACTCAGTATTCCGAAATTGGGCTTCATTTATTGTTATTTGTATATTTTCCGCCCACCCACAAACTTGGGTATTCAAGTGATACAGGTGTTAGAAGCAGCGAAAGCAAGGCCGGAGTTGTTGGTACAAGTAGGATTGGAATACAGATACATCCCTGCGGTGGCTGAGCTGCTGGCTAAAGTGAAGCAAAACGCGGTGGGGCGCGTCCACATGGTTGCAATTCGTGAACACCGGTTTCCATTTCTAGTGAAGGTATTCGCATGTATTCACACTGTTTTCAGCTGCTTCGGATAGAAATCTGGGCGTAGATTTTTTATTTTTCTATTTTTTTTATTTTCTTTTTTTCTTTTTCTTTGTCGTTTGGATAGTTTGGCAACAGATCTTGGAAGAGGGGGCAGGTTGAGAACCCTGAGATTAACACATTCCACCGAAGTAGTGTTTGCGGTAATTGTACGTCTTGGTGCTCTAATCGTGTGACACTATTACTCAACACAGGTTAACAACTGGAACCGCTTCAACAAGAACACCGGCGGCACTCTTGTGGAGAAATGCTGCCATTTCTTCGACCTTATGACACTGATAACAAACTCTACTCCTGTGCGAGTCATGGCTTCTGGAGCACAGTCTGTGAACCATCTGGACGAAAGATACGAGGGCAAGGTCCCAGACATCCTGGACAATGCTTACGTGATAGTGGAGTACGAGAATGGGTCTCGCGGCATGTTGGATCTTTGCATGTTCGCAGAAGGCAGCCGCAACGAGCAAGAAATCTGCGTTGTGGGGGGTTCCGGAAAGGTACCCTTCGGCAACCCCAACCCAGCAGCTTGTGAATCTTCACCCAAAAATTATCCAAAATTTCTTCTTTTTCTCAATGGTCGACTGTTCTCATGCAGGCAGAGGCTTTCGTTCCAGACAGCACTGTTCGTCTGGGCTCTCGCAAGGGTGGCAGGGAAGGTGTGCAGTGTTACGAGGTTCACGACGAGAGAGTCAGGTGAGCATCCCTTCAATCTCCCGAGTGCTGCTGCAAAACCAAAATTGTGTCGCGAGCTTCACCTTCACGCTAACCCAGCTCCCCCATGTTGCTGATCTCGAATTCTATCTCACCTTGTGAAGGTTTGAAGGGCTTCACCACGGATCCAGCTATTTGGAACATATGGAGTTTGCAATAGCAGTGCACTCGCATGGGAGCAGGCCACCCGCTGTGGGCTTAGAAGCAGGTTTGATGTCTGTTGCAGTGGGAGTGGCTGCTCAACAGTCCATCCTGAAAGGTAGATTTGTTTTCATTAAGGAAGTAATCAACACACAAACATAACCTGAACCTCCACAATTAGGCAAAAAATGTACCAGTACTATTACCCATTATTTTATTTTATTTTCTTTCACTTGATCTTCCTCCATTAGAGGTATTATGTGGAGCAATCAATCGTCTGTACTTACAATTTATGACACAACCGAGGACTGAACCGCAAACATTAAACTGCAACGTCGACAACACCTGGTTTGATTGTTAGATATGCTTGTGTATGAGTAGTGCATTTGTATGTGTACCGAACTTTCTGGTGCATCTCCTTCTCTCATGAGAGAGCGAGGAGACAAAATTTTGTATTGAAATCTGAAACATATTTATATCTCACATGGTGTTGAATCATTAATTAACAGTAACTGAATGAAGATTGATAACATATATATTTAAGTATATCTTTTTGGATTTCATTAAATTACAAATTACAAATTGGAAAATCAAAAGATTATGTAGAGGGAAAAAGAGTTCTAACTTTTTGTTAAAGTTGATACTAATCACATTCTAATACTTGATGGTTCTTGTTCTGATACATAGAAACACAAAGCTAATGGAGTTTTTAAAGTAAAAAAAAAATGATACATTATTAAAATAGAGAAGAGACTTTATTCATTATACTAACTAGAACAAAAGTAGTTGCAAGCTTAAATACGTGGAAAACATTAGGAAGATCATGATGTTTGTTTAATCCTACTTAATAAATACATTAGAAATAATATAATACCACAGGTTCAATCTTACTTGATCTTAAATTAAGTGTAGATGAAATTAATGAACATATTAAATTTCATGTGGTCTTGAAGAGATGTGCCACAAATACAAGTTGTTTTTTTCTACAAAAGATATATTTTATTATCATATTAAAAAAAGAATTAAGAAATAAACTGAGTAGTTTTAAAATTTTGTATACATAGAACTATAAAATATATAACATGATAGATTTTTTTTCATTGCATATTAGGTATAAATTATTTATATTTTATTTAAAGATTATATTTATAGAGTTTAATTTATTTTCTATACATTTTTTATTTTTATTTTTATTTTATTGAATTTAGAACTTTTATTAATATATATCTTCTAATAAATTCTTGTTCTCACTATTTTTCTTTTGTATCTTCATATATCTAACTTTGTTTAACTCTTTTTGAAAATTTACAATTTGAGAGTTAGATTGAAAATTTTATTAGACTTCTAAAAATTATTTTTTCTTTTCTACTTCTTGTTTAAATCTAAACATTGATTTTGTTTTATAACATTTTATACAAAACCTAATAAATATCATATCCTATTATCAAAAGTTCTATCAACATTTTCTTTGGACTATATTATGTGTATTTATGGTGTGATTCTTAGGTTTTCAAAAGACAAGGAATTTATCTTGAATTTAGATTTCTAAGACCTCAATTTTTAGAATTGAATAGATAGTTTTACCATAAGATGATTTATATAAGCTATATCTGTAAGGACTTTTTATCCAAAACTATTTTACTTAAGATAAGGTGTTGGAATTTAAATAGTATATGTCTAATCTGAATAAATAACTATTCTTTTCATTCCAAAAAAATCTTAAGATCTTACTAGCCATAAAAAAACATTCAAATTTTAATTTAGCTTTTAAAAAGCTCTACGTGCTTAAAATGTTATAAGCCAAAACTTTATTTTAATGAAATAACTCATTTTTATAGATTTTAAAATTTTAATTAGCTCTATAAATTCAAATCCGTTTCTGATTTGCAACTTTCTTATATTTTATATGACAAATAAACATTAACTACTCTTAATTAATTACATTAGATGGCTTCAAGATTAATCTATAAATATAAGTATTTATGAATGACTCCACATTGTCCATAAAATATTTTATGTGAGAAAAAATAAACATGCATATCTTTTATGGTCAAGTACTATTTGGATGTAAAATATAGTTGAAAACCACATCTAATATAAAAATTCCAACTTTTGGCTATAGATTGTTTTAAGATCTTAAGTTTTTTAGCTTCAAAGCCTTTCTTCTTATAGCAATAGGATATAAAATTTATATTTGATGTTATATATATGTTGCTACATAATCAAAATATTTTGAAAGATTTATTTAGCTTTCTAATATTATAAAGGAAAATCTTCAAATCATTAATATAAAAGAATTAAAAAAAAATTTAGAATCCTAAAAAAATATTTTTTTGTTAAAAAATATGATATTTTTTTTTGTTATTTGTTTTTGAATTTAAGTCAAATAATTTTTCTTTGTTACTTGCTTTTGATAGATTATTTATATCCTATTATCAAAGAGAAGGTATTTAAATTAAGAATACCAATTGTTGATGCATTTAACAACTCATATATATTAGTAATTTGATTGCAACAACATAAACATTCTCTTTTATAGAAATATCATTATAGCTTCTATTTTTTTCATTACAAATATTAAAAGAGATAATACTCAATGCCAAGCTTATTTTAGCAATGAACTTCAATTTGTTCTTGTATTTTACTTCTAAATCTCTAAAGTTTCTTGTTTTATTACTATTGTTTTGTTTAGAACCACAACCATTTAATTTTGACACCCTATGTTTTATGATTTCATTCCTTTGATCAAAATTGAAATACAAAGCAACAAATATTATTTTTAACATCTCTTGAGTGTTAGTGTCTTAAGATTAGATTCCACTTATTGTTGTATAAGAATTTTTAATACATGTGCATATGTTTGCTGATACAAATTCATTTCTTTTATGAATGGCTTTTTTTGTTTGGTAGCTTCTATAAGATTAATTTGCAATACTTTTAGAACAATACTTAATGACATGTAAGACTACTATCATAATCTAAAAAAATTGTCTCTTTGCTACATTATGTCATTTTATTTTAGTCAAATAATTATTGCAATGCAAAAAATAATTTTAATTGCAGATTTTTCTCCTAAGAAAATAAACATTATATTTTGAATTATTATTGATTTTTTTTTCTATTATTTAATAGGAAAATCTATTTTATCAACTGGTTTAATACTAAATTTATTAAAATTTAGAAATTAATATATTATTTTTCTTTTCAATTGAGAAAATATTTATATTCTAATTTGGAGTAGTTTATTGACAAACTTATTTAAGTTGTTGACATATTGATTATTTCACATCGTACTTAATATGATAATAACTTCTCTAAAATTTTTGTTGTTTGACTTAGTAAATTTGCACATATTGTTGGAAGACAAGGATCTACAAGAGTGTCAAAAGTTGCCACCTTTTGTGATACACCTCTCTTTATCTTAGACTAATGCATATTATGAACAAGATTATAAAGACTAAGAATATTAGAAATAATAATTTTACTTTTATTTTCTACTTTTCTATTTCTACATAGTCATAATAATAATTTTTTTAATGAATATGTCAAAGAATCTCATTGTTAATGAGACATTTCTTTGGTTTCAAAATATTCACTTCAACTCCTAGTTTAAGTTAGATCATATATTGTAAAGTTTTATTGACATTATTAATTTAACTAATTCTAAGATTATTCTTGTTCTTGTTATGTTTTAAATATATTGTGTGTCTTTGATATTTTATGTAATTCAAATAGATATTTCTATTGATCTTATAATACTTGATAGTTATGGATCCTACAATCTCTTAGATTCACAACATCTTCATGTTTAGAAGTGTTTATACCAAGAGACAATCTATATAGAAATAATATTAATTTTTTCTTCTTTTTACCTTCTAATCTTATTTTTAAATAAAAATATTCCTTATCTAAATTTAAGATTTCTTGTAATAATTGGTTAAATTAACTCAACCAAAAAGACAATTATTTTATGAAAGATTTTTCTAACAAAACATGCAATTACTATATATTTTTCTTTCAAAGTTTTTTTTTTTTTTTTTTTTTTTTTTTTAGCATAATTGGAACCAAAATCAAAAAAGAGCTTTTTATCCAAATATTTAATTAGTTACATAAAGAAAGTTGGCTTGCCTATGTGTACCAATTTTTTTTTGTTACTATTAGTTTTTTTTCAAATTAATCAAAGAACTTACTATTCTACTATTCAAGTTGGAATCACTCATTTTAATGTCCTTACAGCTCTTATTTTCACTTTTTAAAATCCATACTACATGATATAATAAATAAGATATAATGTATTTTATTTATTTATTTATTTATTTTAAATAAAAATTTACTAACCTCTATCTACAAATTATTTGCCTTTTACACATTCTACACTTATGTGTGCTTTCCATACATACTCTCTAAATTACAATCAAGTCTAAAACTCTTAGATGTAAATACAACCACATCATTTTTGGAATCATTGTACACAAAATTCTAGCTCCAAAATATATTTTGAACAAGGACTTGATAACATTTTAATTGATTCAACTTAATGCAAATAAAACATTCAATGTATACCAACTTGTCAAAAAAAATATAAAATAAATCCTTAATTTGAAATAATTATGATTTATTCTTCATATTTATCTTAATTAATGTACTTGTCCAATTTTCATATATATTGAAAATTATATTTTCTCAATAACCTCATTTCAAACATGTATACAACATAAAACAATAATAAAAAAGACTTTTTTTTTGTTATTCTTATATTTTAGGATTTTGGACAATATTCTACAAGTCACATGGACAATTTGAATCCATTGTGTCTAAAACTACATGGAAATGGAGGCCAAATCAACATCTCTGATTGACCAAAAAATAAGTTTTCATATGAAATATAGTCTTTAAAGCATAGGAACTTAGACATTGGAGGTAACTCACTAATTGTATATTTTAGAATTCAAGCTTCATTTTCTTGTAAGAAAGTTGTTGCTACATGTTTACAACTCTAGAAGCACTTAGTGCATTTACAATTTGAACTTATATTAAAAAAAAATTAAACATTTTGAGCTCTATGTAATTTACAACATTTGGCTTATCAATAATAAGAGACCTCATGGTCATATTCAAAGACCAAACTAACAAGTTGACTGCATGGTCTCTTCTTTTGATGCATTAATTGAATTGTATGAGTAAAAGCTTATAAGGAGATAATAACAGGATTTGTCGGAGCTTTTGTTTGAGGATATGAAGAACTCGTCATATTTCTTCATGACGATGTTTATATTATCCAATGTGATAGAAATACATACATATGTTTGTGAAATAATAATAATATTATAAGAAGCAGTCTAAGTTCATATATACCTGAAGACACAAATATAGTTATTGTTTTGGTGAGCATTCACAAGTTTCAATGTGGATGGATGTTTTTGCTAATACCTCTCCGTAGTAAGAGACTTATATAAACATATTGATGTGAAGTTCTAAGTATTAAAATCTAGACAAAATAGTAGATGTTTGTCAATGTGGCTAGATTCAAGAAGAGTACTATGATCAATCAGCTCTCGACAAAATATCATCGGTGGGATATTTCTTCTTATATTATTTTATCTAAACAAAATACTAAAATTAAAAATACTAACTATTTCTATTACTTTTACAATTCTAGAATCCTGGATTGTTATTTTTTCCATAGAAAATTTTAAAATCAAGCATACCTTCAATTTATCATAACACTTGATTTGATATATATAAGTTTGTTATTCTTTTGTTGTGCATGAATTCACTTAATATTCCTATGACATAGAATATTTGTAGCTTAATATTAATGAAATATATAAGCATTTTAATACGGAAATGAAAACGTTTTGAATCAACTATAGGATAATCATCTTCTAATCCAAGCTTGACACCTTCTACTATTGGCACAAATTTAAGAGTATAATTTTTTATTGAGAATTTCTTCAAGATTTATAAAGCATAAGCTATTTGCAATAAAAATACTCCTTGAGGTAGTTGTCTAAATTCCACAACCACATAAAAAGTAGTTTTGTCAAAGTCTTTTATTTTAATTAGACTCATCAATTCTTATTTCAAGTTTGTGATTCTTATTTTACCAGATCCTATTAATAGCAAATCATCTACATACAATATTAAGATAATTATTTCTTATGAGTTTCTTATGTAAAATAGGTTGTAATCAGCTTTTATTTGTGAAAGTCTTTGTTCATTTAAAAAAGTATTAATCTTTTCAAACCAAGTATTCAAAGCTTTTTTTAGCCTATATAATAATTTTTTGAGTTTACATATCTTTTTTGCTATGGTAGAATCATGAAATCTTTTGGATATCTTCAAATAAACTATTTGTTTTAAATCTCCATTAAAGATTGCAGTTTTCACATTAAGATATAATAGAGGCTAATCATTATAAGAACAACAACAAATCATACAACTTTCTATTTTGCTATAGAAGCAAATAATTTATTAAAATCTATTCTCTTAATTTGTTGAAATCTATAAGAAACTAAGTAAGCTTTAAATTTTGTTGGTTTACCATCAACACCAATTTTTGTCTTGTATATCCATCTTGCTATAACTAGTATGAGGCCTAAAAGCAAAATACATAAATTCCATATTTGATTTTTTAGAATAAATTTTTTTCCTAAATTCATTGCTTCTTATTAATTGAGATGAGCTCTTGTTTCAAAAAAATTAATTAGATCAAATGGTTATGTGGAAATACCAAAAAAACAATCTATCTTTGTTGGCTCATAAAATTCAATAAGATTTGTTTGTTTTGTGTAGATTTCTTTGAAATTGGAATTTACTAAAAAAATGAGATTGTCTTCCAATTGAGACAAGCATTGTCTTGTGTACAAAGGAAAAGTTTTAATTTTAATTTTATATTATTTTTTTGATTTATGGTTAGAAAGTATTTCATTTGGTAGAAATGATTTTGGCTTGATTTTATTATTAAACTTTGTCTACCTGAGCTATTGAGTATGGACAAGCAATAATACAATGGAGTGTTGAAAAGATTGCTAGTAACAAATGCTGATATTTGGTGATGGTAGGTTGGAAGTTGAGACAATGCTTTTGAAGCAGCAATAAGTTTTAAGAAAGAAATATTAATAATAAAGGTGCCTTGTTCAAATTGAAAAGATTCAATAATGCGGATGAAATTCAGTGAAAACTAAACAAGGTTTTAGTGGCGATTCTACTCTAGAACAATCAGCTAATGTCAAAAGAAGTAGCAATGGCAATACTATCCTGAAATGAATAGCAATCAATTATTCATGCGCAAAAAGAATTGGTTCTATTCTCCAATTATTAGTAGATACTTTGGTTGGAACTAGTGCTAGATATACTATTCTTTGCAAGATGTTGTTTTTATCAAACTTAACATTTTGAGATATTAATAATTTTCCTTTAATGAATATCCATTTTTAAAAATCTTTTATTTTTTTGTCATATTTTCCAAATATATCGAGTTTGGCTTTTAATTGCAACCTCTTTTTCATCCTTTGCCACTTAGATGTAAACTTTGGATCCATAAATTTTTAGGAATAAAACATCTAAATTTTGTTTAAAAAAATATTCAAATGATGTTATCAAAAGATTTTTTTTAGTTAGCAATCTATTTAATAAGAAAGCTACATTACTCACTAATTTGCTCTATAAAATCTTAAGATTTCAACTTATATTGACATATTCTTGATTGTTTGTAGACATTTTTGATTTGTTCTTTTGACCATGTTGTTTTGCTCAAGGGTCATAGCATTGGTTAATTGGCATCTCATGCCTAAATCTTCATATAGTTTGATAAACTCTCTTGATAATAATTTTGTTCTACAATTACTTTTAATAGTATATATATTGGTTTGCATTTGGAGCTCTATGATGCACTTGAAGATCTTGAATTTTGCAAAGGATATTATTTTTTATAAATGAATCAAATCCATATATAATGGATAAAAGCATCTATAATTACAAAAATATATATTTTAATCTCCTTAATGATAGTAATAGAAAAGGCATGTATAGATCTATATGCAATAATTCAAGTAGCCTTGTTTCTTGTGAGTTACTAGCTTTTGGCAAGTTCTCTCTATGTTTCCCTACTTGACATTAATCACAAAACTCTTAATAGACTAATATGCATAATAATCTAGTAACTATATTTTGTGCAAAAAGATCATGTAGGCGTTCATGGCAGATGTGTTCTAATTTATGGAGCTATAGTTTTATAAGATGAGCTTGGATGTGAGTTAGATTTATCGTGACATCTAGATTTCTTATTAACAAATAACAGAGACCATTGAGTTTGTTGCATATCTCTTCACCAATAATATTTTTGGATCCATTGCTATAAATAATGCATCTATGATCATCAAACAAGATATAAAACTTTTGTCTATTGTAAGCTTTACAATTGACTCACTTGTAGGTTTAAATACAAAAAATGCACTTATGATCCTTAAGTCATTAGTTAAGGGAGTTAATGTAGGAATTTTAAGATAAATAGAAATTAATAGAATTTAGTGGTTAGAATAGGTTGTTTGCAAAATTTTCTTGAAAAAGAATTCCGAAATAGATAGTTTCTCTTCAATTTAGCTAATAGAAATCTTAATGTAATTGTAGTAGTTTTTATTGTCATTAAAGTATTTAAATTGGATTAGAAAAGAAGGTAGAACCCTTGATTCAAAACATCCAACAAGAAAAAAAAGAAAGAAAAAATAGAATAGAAGAGTAGGAAAGCGGAGAAAAAGGAAAGTAGAAAAGAAAAGGAAAAAAAAAAAAAGGAAAAGAAAAGATAGGCTAAAAAAAAAGATGGATAGGGGGCGAGGCTACCCCCGAATATTGACAGCATCCCTTCCCATAGGGGTCTGGTCTGCCCCGGAGCCGTCTCTCTGATTTTGCGGGGTTTTTTTTTCTCCCTCTCTTCATAGTTCATGAGTTCCGCCGCTCCGAATTTTTTTTTGGTTCTCCTTCGCATTGTGGGAGTGCTGCGGTGCAGCATTTCCCTGCTCTCCTGTTTTTTTAGTTTGGTGTTTAAGGCGTTGCGGACGCCTTGACTGTGAAGTGTGGTTCTTGCGCTTCGTGAATTCCGGTGTTGGGGTGTCGCGTTCAGAGGCTCAATGAGTCGGGCTGTTGTAGCGGCGCTGGGGTTTGAAGGTGGCATTGCCATTGTTTTCCGACTTGTTTTGGTTTTTGTTTTGTTTTGTTTTTATTTTTTTTATTTTTTTATTTTTTTAGTTTTTTTTACTCCTCGGTTTTTTGTGCTGCGAAGGCTCCGCAAGGATGGTTGGGCTGCAGCATTGCGGCGGCCCCTCGGGGTTCTCTTGGAGTTAATTCTTGTGCGAGGGTCGGAGGTGCGGAAGACGGGCTCTTCTCTTCTACGTTGTTTTTTTTTTTTTCCTCTGCTCTAGTTGCTGCGGTGTTGTGGGTATTGGCTAGCAGTTCGAGTCGGCTGGTGTTCGGCAGTGGTGTCGAGGACTGCTGGTTTTAGTTTTATCTGCACTTAGTTGGGGCGTCAAGATTCATGGAAGTCGCGTCGTTATCTCTTTCAGGGCGTGCAACTACAGCCTAGATCGAGAGGTCGAGATACAGGGGATTCACGCCTCTTGTCACGGATAGGATTGCAGCGGCGCCGCATGAAGAACGTCATCGTCGGTCTCTGTTTTGCGGCCATATGCAATAAGTCACATTCTGTTATTGATTTATTTATTTATTTATTTTTTGTGGTTGACTTCGATCAAGGTCGCAGCATCAGGCCAGCCGTCGTGTAGCTGTTGGAAGCGGAATAGAAGAGGAATTGAGGTCGAGGTCGCTTGTGGCTCCAGCTTTCGGTAGTGATTGAGATCGGTGCCTGCATTACAAAGGTGGAGGTCTTAGAAGAACATTTGTTGTGCGGCATTGATTCGGTGGGTTCAGCGGAGGCTGCAAATTTACGACGAGGGCGATTGGTCTTGGTCTAGCCTTGTTCTTTTGTTTTTTTTTTTTAAGGAAATTCATTGGTCAAGTTCCGAGCTCCGAGCGCTCCGGAGCTCGTGCCTGGTTTTTTTCAATTGTTGGAGGCTGCGGTGCAACACTTCCTGGTGGTTTTCTCCCCTTTTTTTTTCGTGTACTGTGGAGAGCTCCGCAAGGAGCGGAGTCTGTGGGTTGGCCTTCTACTAGATGTAAGCGGTTTCGGCAAGGGTCCGAGGCGGTCTTCTACATCGAGGTGGCCTTAATTTTTCCCTAGCTGTTTTTGTCGGATTGCTGCGGTGCAGCATCGGGTTCTTCTTACTTTTGTGTGCTGGTCAAAGATCTCCGACATTCTCAGTTGTGCCTCCTCGCTGGTGAATTGTCGTAGCTAGTGTGTAATACTGTTCCATTGCAACGGCGGAGGTGGCGTTGGTTGGCTGCGGTGTTGCCTTCGTAGACTAGTATTGTGGATGTAAACAACGGAAGGCTCCGCTCAGCATGAAAGTGAGGAGGAAACACTGGAGGTGAATCTGGAGAGTTGAACAGCACAAGGACATCCAAGTGCGAGCCAACGCGACTAGATCAGTGCGGCCTTAGAGCTAGTCGCAAGAAGCATTGACTTGGAGCTCCGACCTGTTGCGACAGTAGCTCAAGGAAGTTGGAGTCCGGTGTGGGAGCAACGACAACCTGTGCTCATCCACGAAGCATATTTGTGAAACCTCGAGTGGAAAGTTAAATTAGATTTAGATTCAATTGTATTAAGATGAAAAATTATAGATGAATATTGATTAAAATTGGATGAATTCTCATTTGTGGATGAGAAGTTATTCCTGGATGAAAACTCCTTCATGGATAGGGTTTTTCCTTGGATGAATTTCGAATTTTTGGATGATGATTAATACTAGGAAAAATGGAAAATAAGAATTGTCTTTCAAGTATGAGTTCTTTTGTTGAGTTAATTGAGTGCCTTGTGTTATTTAAGTAGTTATGCTATTGTTGTGGAGGTTGAAGGTGGAATTTAATTAGTAGAGAATTGAGAAGTTAAAACAAAATGGGAGACAACTTAAGAAATTAAATTGTAAGCTAAATAATATTAGCAAACTAGAATAGATTACTTGTTAGAGGGATTTATGTTGATCACAATTGGGGTTTCATTGGAATTGTTGGACACTTAATCAAAAGTAATAGGAACTTGTTAGAGAATTTGGATAATCAAAATTGTTGTGAATTAGAATAGACTCACAACTAGTGGGGTTTTATTTTACTTCATATCTATAAATGAACCAATTGACAATAAGTTCATTTTTAACCTTAAAACACACAAAATAACATAAAGATCTTTTATTTCTCTAGAAGGTGGAATAAAGTAGACAATTCCGCAACCTATGATTGAATGACTTTGTCCACCTGCAATTCTCACATTGCCACTATATTTTTTTACGCTAATAAAATTGTCATGGTTTTCACTTGCATGGTTTGTTGCCCATGAGTCTAGATACCAACCTGTGGTGGAATTGTTGAGATCCAAGGATGAAATTGTTACTTTGAACATGTAAAAATTGCCCTCGTTTTTAGTCTCAGCCATATTTGCAGCATTACAATTTTCAGAGTTTGTTGGCCATGACCATTCTTCCTTTAACTATATTAGTAACTATATTAGTTGTGTTTGTTTTGATTCCAAGTCTAGCCTTTCTATCTGCTTTAAGTTTTTTGATGTCTACTAATAATTCTGGGCACATGAGTAATGGATGCTTGTTTTTACTACAGTAATAGCATCTGATCTTGCAAGACTGGACATGATGACTTCCTGAGGAGCGATTTTGTTGCTCACCAGTACGATGCTGCCTAAAATATACTGCTTCATTGCTAATAATTAATTCTCCTCATTTGGTTTTTCTTTGACTTTCTTCCAGCATCAAAGGAGCTTGAAGTTGTTCCAAATTTGGAAACTTTCTTGCACTCATATAATTCTGCAATAGTTATCATAGCTATTAAGAAGAGCTTTCACAACCATTTGGACAAGATCTGTGTCATCGACTTTGACACCAATTGCAGATAATTTTGCCGGAATGCAAGTCTTGATGTGGATGGATGATCCTGCTAACACAACGCTTGGTTGGAAACTCTTCGGAAGGTCTCTGCCAACTCCACTCCTTAGACGGGTTCGATTCAAGTATAATCGATATCTCTGGGCAGAATGTGCACAATACTGAGCAGTGGGTGGGAGTTTTTCGAAAAATGGGAGAATGATCACCATGGCGTTTGGTGTTCGTTGGAGAATGAGGAATAAATTTCCACCAGACAATCAACCCAGGGGAGGGGGTTGCGTGAAGCGAATCCTTCAACACACACCCGAGTGGCTGCCGGTCCCTGCAATACAAATCCAACTCTGTGCAACGACATTGCATGAAACAGCGCCTGAGAAGGCTGGCGGATGTCCCCCTGCGAAACATTTCTTTTTAATAAGTACCCTTATTATCCAAGCTTGCAATCTAGTATCTAACAGTGCGACTCTGCACAGACAAAATGGGGTGATGATTTTTTTTTTTTGTTTCTTTTCCTCATTCCATATCACAACGGACGACTACCGGGTTGTAATCCTGGAATCCTGCAAAAGCAACCCTACCCTAAATGACTCACAGCTAGGCGATGGACAAAGGGCAGATTCTGGCGGGGCAAATCGCACCACGTCCATTCTGAGCAGAGGCAGTTGCAACCTGAAGGCGATCTACCCGTCTGGTTCAAGGCAGCGCACCCATGACGCGAGCCCGGCTCTTCTCCCCATTTGCCAAGACACAAACTCCACGGAGATTGGCCGCGCTGCAGGGGATTCCCTTCAAGAGTCTGCACACGCATCGATGTGTGTCACAGAACACGACGTCCTACTGTCGTCTCGATGAGGACACTTCCCACAGGGGAATAAATTCCGGGTTCTCCAGACACTGATGCTGCATGGGGGTGGTGGTCGCGCGATGATCACCTTCACAGTCACGGCCAATGTGTGCGGTCCTCAGACTCCTCCTCCTCCTCTTCTTCTTCCTTGCCATACTCCATATCTTCATCATCATTATCAGCAGCAGCAGCAGGATCAACTTCTATTGTATTTTGTTTGGGTCCGTATGGTGGTGCCCATGTTCCAACCCATAGCGCAAGCACGTGGGTCTTCCAGAGCTCCCCATCAGTGCCCAATGCTCGAGCATGGCAGTGTCTGTTCCGCAGAATAAAAACTTGATCTGCATGAGAGCTTAGCTCCGCCCCTCCTGACTGAGCTCAGCTGCCTTGCACTGCCTCGCGAGCAAGCGAGTAAGGCTACGAAAGCGGGACTGGTGGTCTCTGCTTTGCTTCAATGTGAAGCCCGGTCTGATCTTGCCCAGCCCAGCTTGGAACTTGAATAGGAGCCTGGTATAATCCTGCTCTTTGCTTTTGTGGGTTCATGACACATGAAAAAAAACAAAAAAACGATGGAGCATTAATAATTCTTAAAATATATGCCAAGTTTTTAGAACAAATGTTTGGTATAAATGTTTGAGGATTTGTAAAAATAATTTAAACATATTAACTAAAATATGGTGTATCTCATTTTTCTAAAAATTAATTTATGCACAGATTGCCACTTGAATACCAGTTGATATGTTGATATGAATGCATTTTAAAATTTAAACCAAATGATGAAAGTTTGTGATTTTTTATTCAAATCAAACATCAATTATTCAATTATATAATTATATGATGAAGTATATAATATAAATGTTAACCATGTACATCAATTGATATTGCTACACCCTCATGACCTCCACACAACTTAAATTGACTAAAAAGTGCACTTCTATGTTTAAGGCATGTTTGGCAATCCAATGTTTAATACCAATATTAACCCAAAAATGGAATAAATAATAAAAATAAGTTTTATATGTTCTTGGTAGCCAAATTTAAATTTAATATATATATATATATATATATATATATATATATATATATATTGAATTAAAAAAAAATTATGCAAATATTTTGTTTTTTAAACAAAAATAACTAGCAGCCTATTTTTTTGTTAAAAATTCCTTGAATCCCTCTTTAAGTAAAGAAAGAAAAAAATGCACAAAAGAAAGAGGTATTTTATTAGCTAGTTGTCTATGAGGAGGTCACATTGGGTGTAACAATATCAATTGGATATGTAGTATTAACAATTTTCTTTGATTACCAGTCCTTGTTTTGAACACTTCCTTAAGAATAAAAGACGATCAAGTTCTTCATGTTTTTTTTAGGATCATATGAAAAAGGATCAAAAAAATGATTAGGTGCTTTTGTTGTTGTTGTTTTTTTTTTTTTTTTTTTTTTTTTTGCATTAGTAGTTCATCTTGCAACACTTTTCTATATAAACTGCCTTTTGGGTTGTATATCAATCATAGGTTTTGTCTAATTTTCTTAAATAATAAATGTTAATATATGCATGTATGTATACTTGTTTTAAATTGCTACTTCTTACCACACATATTCAAACTATATATATATTTGTCATGATTAAATCTTTAACAACAGTTGTAGTTGTTTTACAAAAAGTAAATTTTTACATGCTTGCTGAAAGATCTAGAAAATCAAAATAAACGAAGTAGTTGTTTACCATAAAACAAAATAAACAAAAATGCAGGGAGATTAAAATAAAAACATATGGAAAACACTTCTCCGAATATTCACGATAAGGTCTGCTACAAATCACAGATAACCCATGATTAAAAAAATATTTACACACACACACACACACTCACACGCAAACATGAAAAAATGCAAACTCCTAGCCATCTATTAAAACCGCAGTGAGTGATCAATGTGATCCAAACCCCAACAACGAATAGTTCACCGACATTGCATGAAACACACAAAATCATTTCAAAAATAATATTATTATATATATATATATATATATGTGTGTGTGTATACTCATATATAATCGTGCGTGTGTCCCATGCAGATACAGCAAAGAATAAATCCAAAAATAACATGATACGTGTCATGTATCGATTGGGACCAGTCGATCTCTGCGATTGGGCCAATCCGACGTGGAAGGGGAGGGAACGGGGAACGGGGAACAAGTGGGTGTTCCCCAAGTCGTGTTTGAAGGGCACACGCTCTGCCTTCACGTAGTGTCCACGAGGCCTTCAGCGCTGCTGCTGGGGCTCACCACTCCTGCGTTTTCTGAGGGGAAGGGCCGTCGGGTTGCAGGACCTGGGCCGTGCGCGGGAGGATATAACGATCGCACATGATCGACCATGAATGCCACAACACCATCGTTGACGACAAACAGGGGCTTCCTCCGGAGCCCCGGAGCTGGCCACTGTCACTTTCGGAAACCTCGCACTAATTATAGACCCCCCCCCTGCGGCTCCCTCGAAGCGTCTCACACGGGTGTCGAGGAACCGCATCTGCTTGTGCTCATGCATCCGCGACTGGGGAACATAAATAACTTCCTGAATATTTCCACCCTGATTTTTTTTTTTTTTTCAACCCTTTTCTCCAGAGCTTCGTCGTCAAGGAGGTGACAAACATAGCGATACGGCCTTCCGTGATTTCAATTCTCGCGATTATAAAATTGGAAACTCCTTCCGCAGTTGCCAAGGATCGTGATCCATGCGCATTCCGCACAGGGTCTTAAAACGGCAATCTTTGTAACTTCCTTTGCTGATCCACATTCTGGTTTAGTATTTTTTTCGGACCTGGCGATTGTTAATTCTAGTCTTCGGCAGCTGTCCTGGAGAGTCGCGGTCGAAATTACTTCGCAAGTCTCTTCGTTCTGACAGCAGCTGGAGCGTTCACTTCCCGACTCTAACAGTCTTAGACCTTTAGAAAAAAGAAGAAATGATTGAGGGAAAAGCGCAAGATAGTTACCTTGGGCTTCTCACTTTGAGGAGTTCTTTTTCCCCTAGCTTTTGCACAACCCAATTTTTGGCACAACTTTGCCTCCGATCCGCCGCTACAACGAGATCACTTTGACTGGGAGATTGTAATGAATTAAGCACAACTTGAAAGATCGAGATCAATCACGCAATTGGACGAAGCGGCAGGCACCAGCACCCATCCACGGAGCATCACCACACCGCGCTTTTCGTGGATGGAAACACGCCCTCCGGTGGCAAACAAGTTGCGGTGATGTGGCGAAGCTTTTAATTTGCAAGAGAGCCCCGCTTCTTCAAAGCATCGCCGAGATAAGTGACCAACCTCCACACACGAAGCAACACCAGCTCTCATAATGAGCGCATTCCGAGCTCCGCGACCCAGAGAACGAAAGCCTTCATCATCGGTCTCATTCGTGGGGTTTTCTCGTTTGTTGCAGTTCGTTCGTACGGTTGTCCACGAAAGCCTGCCAGTGTGGGATTGAATAAGATTGCGCACTAGCGTGCCAGTGGTACCGTCGTCCTTTCGTGCCTAATCTGGCGACCACCTTAAAAGGGATCGGATACATCGATGGCCTTACTAATTTGTCTCGCGGCGTGCTTCGCGTGGCCGAATACCAGCACAACGACTTAGCATCATCACTGGCTTGGGACCAGTGTAGTCTGCTGTAGTCAAGACAGCAGCCAGGGCGAGTATTTATCCCCCCCTTAGCAGTCCAGTCAGGCCCTGGACCCATGTCTTGTTTGTTTGTGCTCAGTGGCTTTTCGACGATCTTTTACCTGTTGTTGATTGCGTGAGTCGAATAGTGGAGAGGGAATGGTGGTGGCCTAGGGGATTGGAAGGAAGGAAGGAAGACAGAGCGGCGGGATCGTGACCATGGGCAGTGTAATTGTGCGATTGGAGAAACGTGGAAGGGTGGTCAGTCGGTTTTTGGTTTAGCTTTGGTGAGGTTTTAGACGTAGTGGTGGTTGAGAGTAGGGGGGTGCAGCTGGAAAAAAGCCTCACAATGTTGGCGTGAGTTGAGGATTGAGAAAGAGGCGATGGGGGTAAAGTGCAGTTACTACTTTTCGTCAGTTTGTCGAGGACTGCAGAGGGAGACAGATTGCTGGTGAATGTTGTCCCGAAAAGTTGCAGACTTGGTATGGTGGATGCAGAGGGTACCGAGTGCACGATTAGGTACATCAATTTGGGGGCATAATTCTATTCCTTCGTCGCAGTCTGGCCAAGCTCAATTTTGAGCTGAAATTTGGCTGTGATCGAAATTTGAAATTTATTTTGTATTTAAAAATTTTGTAGTCTTTCGGAGTGTAGCTGGTGGCAGGAATCTGGAGTTAGTGAGAGTCGTTTCATCGATTTAGCGCATTGAGCAAAGCGATGCGTATGATTCAGCGGAATTCTTCAGAAATGAGAGCATTGAAGCTTCGGTGATGGCGAGGGCTGTACGCTAGTGCATACAGGGGCTGCTTCCACCCTGTGAAAGTGTTTGTCTACATCAAAGTCCTGGGAGCTAGTAGCCCCTGAAACTTGTTCGTCTATGTGTGATTGAATTAGTGTAATCCGCTCCTCTAGATCCATTCACGATGACGTCCACTAAGTTATCCTACTCGTTGGGAACCACCGTGAAGTCGAAGCACAGCGTGCGAGTGCAACAAACCACCGCAGATGCTAAGCTTCAAGCTGTGTACGAGGAGTCGAATGACTCCGGAGACGCGTTTAATTACTCGAAATCAGTCGGTCAAGCTGCCAAAGCAACCGTGCAGCAGGTTCCCGCACAAGCTGTGTCATCATATCTTCAGCGCATGCAGAGAGGGGGTCTCACCCAAACCTTCGGATGCATGCTCGCCGTCGAGGAGAGTACCTTCAGGGTTATTGCATACAGTGAGAATGCTCCCGAAATGCTCGATTTAGTGCCACACGCTGTACCGAGCGTTGGACAACAGGATGTACTCGGAATTGGAGCTGATGCAAGATCGTTGTTCACTCCCTCGAGCGCATCCGCGTTAGAAAGAGCCGCATCAACATCCGATTTGAGCATGGTAAACCCCATCTCTGTTCACTCTCGAAGCTCAGGGAAGCCATTTTACGCTATTGTGCACCGCATTGATGTGGGGGTAGTAATAGACTTTGAGCCTGTTCGACCGAACGATGTCATTATCTCCACAGCTGGGGCTCTCCATTCCCACAAATTGGCAGCTAAAGCAGTTGCGCGGCTACAATCCCTTCCCGGAGGCGACATTGGGCTACTGTGTGATGCAGTTGTGGAAGAGGTCCGTGAGCTCACAGGCTACGACCGAGTGATGGCGTACAAATTTCACGATGACGAGCATGGGGAGGTCCTCGCCGAGATTCGGAGATCAGATTTGGAATCCTACCTAGGCTTGCATTATCCCTCCACAGATATACCGCAAGCATCGAGGTTTCTGTTCATGAAAAACAGGGTGCGGATGATTGCGGATTGCTGCGCGCCTCCTGTGAAGGTAATTCAAGACAAGGACTTGCGTCAGCCAATCACTCTTGCGGGATCCACTTTGCGAGCGCCTCACGGCTGCCATGCTCAGTACATGGGCAATATGGGTTCAGTCGCTTCAATTACTCTGGCTGTCATCGTAAATGACCAAGAAGAGGACTTCGGAGTGCAGCAGAAAGGCCGTCGACTGTGGGGGCTGGTTGTCTGTCATCACACGTCCGCTCGGACAATCTCCTTCCCTCTCCGATCGGCGTGTGAGTTCTTGATGCAGGTGTTCGGATTGCAACTTAATATGGAAGTAGAGCTTCAAGCTCAGGTGAAAGAGAAGCACATATTACGAACGCAGACATTGCTATGTGACATGCTCTTGCGTGATGCTCCTATCGGCATTGTGTCGCAATCTCCCAACATTATGGATCTAGTCAAGTGCGACGGAGCAGCTCTCTATTACGGGAAACGTTTCTGGCTCCTGGGGACCACACCAACTGAGCAGCAAATCACCGAGATTGCAGACTGGCTGTTGGAGTATCACAAGGATTCTACAGGATTGAGTACAGATAGCCTGGCAGATGCAGGCTACCCTGGCGCAAACCTGCTTGGTGACGCCGTATGTGGTATGGCTGCTGCAAGAATCACTCCCAAGGATTTTCTGTTTTGGTTCAGGTAAGGCTCGAGATTTTTCTAGATTCATTCAATCCTGTCTTGCTTCTTTTGTACAGTACATCGCGTTGCTACTTGAGCTCTGATCTTTGGATTGTGTTGGGATGATACAGATCTCATACTGCTAAAGAGATTAAGTGGGGTGGCGCAAAGCACGACGCGGATGAGAAGGACGATGGTCGGAAGATGGCTCCCCGATCTTCGTTCAACGCTTTCTTAGAAGTCGTAAAGAGGCGTAGTGTTCCTTGGGAAGACATTGAAATGGATGCGATCCACTCTCTGCAGCTCATATTGAGGGGGTCTTTCCAAGACATTGACGATAGCGATGGGAAAACGATGATTCATGCGCGGCTTCACGATTTGAAGCTCCAGGGTATGGACGAGCTTAGCACCGTTGCTAATGAAATGGTCAGGTTGATAGAGACTGCAACTGTGCCCATTCTTGCGGTGGACTCAAGTGGGTTCATCAATGGATGGAATGCGAAAGTAGCAGAACTGACAGGACTCCCAGTTGGAGATGCCATGGGCCGCTCCTTGGTAAAGGATTTGATCTTGGAAGAGTCCGTGGAGGCTGTCGAGCGGCTGCTGTACCTAGCGCTTCAAGGTATAAAAACCTGCTTTGTGTAACTCTTTTCGAAGAAAGATTGGCTCTGAGAGTTCGAGGTTTATTAAACTTTCTTTTCCACGAGTTGAAATGCTATCTGATAACGCAACAGGCTGCTCTTATTGTGGGTGAAGATTTAATTGAAGAATCAAGCCACTGTGGCTAATGAGAAAAATTATCTTAAGAGTCGTGGGATGATCTATCGATGTGGAACTGACCTAGGGCTAGTGTAGTGTCGAGGAGCAAGAGCTCTGTGTCTTCTGTGTTCCGTTTTCGTCGCCTGTCATTGATGAACGATTCCCTTTCTTTTCAGGTGAAGAAGAGCAAAATGTTGAGGTTCGTTTGAAGACATTTGGGCAGCAAAAGTCCAAAGGCGTATTGATATTAATAGTCAATGCCTGTTCAAGTCGGGATGTGCAAGAGAATGTGGTTGGCGTATGTTTCGTGGGCCAGGACGTGACAGGGCAAAAGATGGTGCATGATAAGTTTACACGCATTCATGGTGACTACAAAAGCATTGTGCAGAACCCAAACCCTTTGATCCCACCCATCTTTGGAGGCGATGAACTAGGATACTGCACCGAATGGAGCCCTTCAATGGAGAAGTTGACAGGGTGGAAGAGGGAGGAGGTAATCTTTATTCTTTAATTTACCTATTAGGGTTGTTTCTCGAGATCATAGCTATTGTAGAGACTCCAGTATACGTTGATTCGCACCACCGATGGTCTCCACTTTTGGTACAATTGTTCAGTGAGCTGGAGGATTTTTCTGATTTAGGTTGGAGCATTGCGGGATGCAGGTTCTCGGGAAAATGCTAGTTGGAGAAGTCTTTGGTGTACAACTCATGTGTTGCCGTCTGAAGGGCCAAGATGCAGTAACGAAATTCATGATCGTCCTCAACAATGCCATGGATGGTCAGGACACAGACAAGTTTCCGTTTTCGTTTTTTGACCGTCAGGGGAAGTTTGTGGAAGCTCTTCTGACAGCCAACAAGAGGACGGATGCAGATGATTACATCACAGGAGTGTTCTGTTTTCTACACACTGCAAGCCCAGAGTTATTGCAGGTTGGAATCTCAACCTGGGGTTTTCTTCGTTCTAGTTATAGTCACATGTCACTCAAAATTCAACCTCACATATCGCATAGATTGAATCTGAAGTATCTCGGTGAAACCGTAACAACGCTTTTTACAAAACGTTCGATGCTGTTCGGGCAGCTGCTGAAGTTGTGGAGGGGTTTGTCGTATGCAGGCATTAACTGTTCAACGAGCTACTGAGAAAGTAGCGTTTGCCAAACTCAAGGAGCTTGCGTACATTCGACAGGAGATTAAGAATCCCTTGTATGGAATCATGTTTACTCGAAATTTGATGGAGGACACAGATTTGTCAGAAGAACAAAAACAGTTTATGGACACTAGCGCAGTCTGTGAGCGGCAGTTGCGGAAAATTTTGGATGATATGGACCTTGAAAGTATTGAAGACGGGTAAGCTTGAATTCTTCGCAAATTCCTCTCGGTACACATCTGCATGGATCGTGGAGCATTGTCGTAAACTGTGTCAGACTTGCGGATGTGAGGATAACTCTGGATGTCGCAATTTCTGCTATCGGACTTTTCAGTTTTCAGAGATTGACCGCCTTTGTTTGTCTAGGTATTTGGAGTTGGAGACAGCCGAGTTTGACATGGGATCTATGATGGACGCTGTGGTGAGTCAAGGAATGATAACATCGAGGGAGAAAGGCCTTCAGTTAATTCGTGAAACCCCTCGGGAGATCAAAGGCATGTGCTTATTTGGGGACCAAGTTCGATTACAACAAGTCCTCGCAGACTACTTGTTGAATGCAGTGCGTTTCACCCCTTCTTCTGAGGGCTGGGTTGGCATCAAAGTGGTCTCAACGAAGAAACGCCTAGTTGGTGGCTTCCACGTTGTGCATTTAGAATTCAGGTGAGTACCTGGGCACCATTTTCCCCACCTCGAATGTGGGTAATCACCTCCTCGCTTCCTTCTTTGATGAACTGGTTCTGCTGCACAGGTTGAGGCTTGCCTTTTCCCTATTTTCCTTTGCGAACATTACCTCACATTCTACATTCAATGTCGTGTTCTGAGCGAGCTGCGCATGGGGGTTGTTTGTTTTTTTTCAGAGTCACACATCCGGGATCAGGACTTCCAGAGGAGCTTGTCTGTGAGATGTTCGACCGGGGCCGTGGCATGACTCAAGAAGGACTCGGGCTGAGTATGTGTCGCAAGCTCGTAAAACTAATGAACGGTGAAGTGAAATACATCAGAGACGCCGGCAAAAGCTATTTCTTAGTCAACCTGGAGCTTCCATTGGCCGGAAGAGACGATTCTGGCAACGCGAGGTAGTAGTAGAGGTCTTCCTGGTGCCGACGATCGCAAACTGTACACTGATCGATAACTCGCTTCTTTCCCCTACCGTTGTAAACGTATCTGGGAGAGACTTAATTTGGGGGGGGGGGGGGGGGTGATCACGCGTCATACAAACGAGGTGGAAACGCCGAGTCCTCGTTTCTCCCACTTCTGCACGAGAAGAAGAAGAAGAAGAAAAAACAAAAACAAAAAAAAAAAAAACACTTGTTGATTGTACCGTCTTTCCTCGACGATGAAACCACCTCGGGTCGTAGCTGATCAACACTCATAGCTGACACCGACGGATCACTCATGGCCATCTCCATATGGGTGAAGAGCAAGACTTTCTCAGCTGAATCATGAATCACGCCACTGTCGACATATAATGCCAGTTCTCAAGCATGGACACACACAGTTCCTTTCGGTGCATGTCTCCATGCATCTGCTAGATGAACAGCCGTTTTCCTTCTCCTTTTTTTCTTTTTTTTATCCCGTGCTCCAGTCTCCGCGTGCACTGTGTACAATCCATTAGAAGCCAAGTGCTACAAGAGGCTAGTTGGACAGTCTTCCACTCAAGACACAACTCAAAAGTCATGTGTATACATTGAAAGATGCTCTCTCTCTCTCTCTCTCTCTCTCGCTCTATTCATTAAAAACCCATTTACTGGTTTTTGAGCCGTTTTGCGAAGACTTTGCAATGTTACGTTACATAGTAATCCAGAAGAATGTCCATGTGGGTGGATCTGTTTGCCCTTCCGTGTTCTGTGGGATTGGTTGCCGAGTATTCATTTCAAGTCTAATTTTGTTTATCAATCTGCGGCTTGACTTTGTCGTTCAAACATGTTCGGGCACAATGGATGAGGTCAATAAATGGCACAAAGGAGCTGTATCCTCTATTGGCGACATTTCACCGACCGTGCCTTTTGGAGCTACTGTCGTGTTTCGACCGCTTTTTAGGGCTAGGTTTTCTGTTTTGCAGCTGTTTCGATGAAGGGGTAATCTTGCTTCTGTTACTCCAGTTTTTGTTGTGTGTAGTACTAACTTAGATTGATTTGTATTTTTTTTCTTTTGGATTGATGGTAAGCGTCTGGGCAAACCACTTTGTTAGAGGACCCTAATTTTATCAATGTACTCATTGAAGTTTTGCACAGGAACGCTTGGTCAAATTGGATGATTTATATATATATATATATAATTTTATTATTATTATTTAAATTGATCAATGCATTTACTAAATCAACCCATCATTATTGGTAGCAGATCCGACAATTTTTTTTTTTATTAATTTTCAACCAACATAGATTCAATAGTTGAATTTTTTTTGATGATGGTTAGAATGGGTGGGTAAATTTAGTAAATGCTTGGGTCACTTTAACAATTCCCTATATGTATTATGAAATAGTTGAGGAAAAAAGAAATGAAGTGAAGTTTTGAAACTGTGGCATGACACAATGTTAAATGTGACTTTGCTCTTGATGACCCTTCAACTTATCTTTGCTGCACAATTGATGTATACACCCACTAATTCATGTGCCCTCAGTTGAAATCAATAATTATCTAAAATTCAAGACAAGTTTTCATCTGAATTGTTTTGATAAAATTGATCACTGAATTAATAATCATGAACTGGAAATTCTATTTTCAATGGGACTTGTTTAGATGTACGCATAAGATAACAATCAATAGTTGAATGATTTATTTAAAAGTGTACAAATATTGTGACTAAATTCATATAGTGAGTGGAAGGAAAACCCCCCAATTCTCTTACAGCCAAAAATTAAACAAAAGTGCACAAAGCACTATTTTTGTGTGTGAATATATATATATATATATATATATATAATTATCAATAAAAAAGCTACATCAACTATCAACAATTATCAAATTTGTAATTTACCAATACAAAAGGTTCAATTCAACTACTTTAGAAGTTTGGAATGTGTCTTTATAAGCATTTTCAAATTTTGTATTAATCCCAGTTTCAAACCACAAATGTATATGTAAGCACACACACACACACATATATATATATATATATATATATAAATTAAATATTTAACCTTTTATATATTTTCATTAAATGTTCTTAAATAATTTAAAGTGCTTTTGCCAAATATTACATTTTTTTCATTTCTTACTTAGAAAAATAGCAACTGTTTGATATATTTTTCAAGATAGTGTATATAATTTCTTTATTATGAATAATATATTGGAAATTATTATGTTAGCTAAATCATACTCAAGTTAACACTTTTCTTGACTATGATTAAATAAATCACGTTGGTTTCTCTGTATGGTTATCTTTTTTGAGTAAAATGATTTTTTATTATTAGCAGCTACATCGTATAAAATTCTATAAACTATGGATGGGAGAAGAAGCAATAGTTTCCTTTGAGTAAAAAACATAGGGATGAAAAGAAGTAAAATAATACAGGATAAACGTAAAAATACAGGGATGAAAAGACATTCAATCAACCACACACACCTGGCCATCACCACTGTGACGTTCACCATTGGCGAGGTTAATACAAATCTCTGGTGGACAAATCAAACGACAAACCAATGAAGTTTCCAAGGCACCAATATTCCTTAAAAAAGGATTGGAGTTTTAAATACTTCACGAAAGCATTCAATGCCCGTCACCCACTTTCATTGACAGCTAAACCAGGATCACAATATCCACAACATTTCCGCTTATGGAGATGTAATCAATATCCACAAACAGTACCCTATCTTTCTCTCTCTATATATAGGTACATAATTATATATCAATGAAAAGTGAGAGAGTTGTGTAGAAGAGGATGACAAGCTCTAGCGAGGGATGTCCTCCAGGCTATCGCCATAGCCATCGCCAGCGAAGCAACTGCGGTTGTCGGTGCCGGATGCGGCATCCACAAAGCGAGAGGATTGCTCCAACTCCGGTCCGTGCCAAGCAAGCAAGCAAGCTGGGATCAGAGCACCCAGTTGCGAGCCAAAATCCAGTGTGGCCCAAGCTCCGAGTGCTGTGCGTGGACCTGCGCATGTTTCGCAGTCTGCCCCGGAACCGAAACATCGACACGCTGGTTTAGTGCCTCCAGACAAGACCCACTTTCTCATCTTTTTTCATGCTTGAGTCGAAATAAAAGGCCGCCACCGAGGCTGCGTGCTGAGCAATCAAGCCAGTCTTCTAACTTTGGATTACTTGGGTTCGTGAGCTGCTGCTGCTGTTGCGACCGCGTGGTTGCTCAGTAAGGGCAGTTCTGCAGCGCCGCGGAGAGTTGAACCAGCAGTGCCGTCTCCGACGTAGGAATAAGCAGCAATCGCCGCTTTGTTTCTGTTTTTGTTTTCATTACATTTTTTGTTTTTTGTATTTGTTGCTTCTTCTTCGCCCTTCTTCTTCTTGGGTGTGTGTTGCTGGGATGAGCTGCGACGTGTTTCGATGACACGCCTGGAAATGCATCCGTTTGTGGAGTGAGACTGAAGAAATCACTTGAACTTGAGCTTTTGTTAACGAGCTTGCTTCACGTTCAAGTGTTTTGAAGATTCAAGGTTTGAATGGTTCACTGAATGTCAGAATGCACTTTTCTCATCTTTTTATGACAAGTTGCACTGCTACATTATTATTATTGTGTGGTTGTTTTGTATAAAAACTTGTGCGCATATCTGAGACCATTTTTTTGGACTTTGCAAAAAGATTTACATGAAATAATAAGATATCAAGTAAAGTATTGTCTAAATTATGTAAAATAATACAAATGATTACAAATAAAAGTTAAACACACACACACACACACACACACACACATATATATATATATATATATATATGAAATAATTTTTTATATTTTTGAAAATTAAAACTAGCATGAAAATATTATATTAAATATAAGATAGTATTTATATTATAAGTATAGATATTAGTAGTGGTAAAGAAGATAGAAAATTAAAAAAATCCTTATTAGCATAAAGGCTATATGTTCTACAGATGGTTTTTTCATTGAATTAAATTTGAAATCTAAAATATTTTTAGTGAAATTTTGATGCATGTGATTTTTTTGTGATGATATTTATAAACCAAAACAAAAAATTAAAATAAATTTAAAATCATTAAAGATGTTTACAATGCCAACAATGTCTCTAACATAGATGTTACTAAAAATTTATATATTTCTAAATTTGTGCTACATAATTACAATTCATATGAATATATATATATATATATAATTTTTTTTGAGTTATATTTTATTTTTGCAATAAGATTTAGATCATTCTTACAATTGTTTGTTTTCTTTTGCTTAGTTGTGAACTTAAGCATTTAATATTTTTTTTTATTAAAAATTATTTTTATTATTTTTTGCATCCCTGAGTTTTTTTTTTTTTTTTTTTTTTTTTTTACATATAACATTAATTTTTTTATAAAGGTTTCTTAGGATAATGTAGGTATGTGGTAAATACATGAATGTTGCATAGAGTTGTAACTTTTACTATATAATGGTTTTGTTGTGAAATCATTTTTTTTGTTATAAAGTGTAGTCTAGACCTTAAAGAACAAAGTGACAATAGTTTATATTCCTTAATTTTGAAAGCATGTAGCTGTGACTATTGATGTTTCACTTGTGATGCACCTTCAAGCGATGGCAATGGTAAAACCCTAATAAACAACTTAACTTAGTTGCAAACAAATTGGTTAACAATCAATGTAGTTAAAAAAAAAAAAAAGAATAACTTAAAAACACAGAAGGCCAATTATGGCAATTGAATTGTTTAATCACATACTAAGTCTAGTACTCAAAGACAACAGAACAAAGATTGATGTCTAAAATAAAACAATCAGGAAAGAATCATTGAATGGCTTTTCTTGAAGCTTTGGAGGTTCATCAATTAAAAATTTTAATTGCATTTTAGATGTTGATGTTAAATTTGTCAAAGATGAAAATGAAGTATTTAGAACAATTTTTGTCATTACCAATTTTGCAAAACATAAACTATCTAAGATAACCTTAGAACAATGATTTGAGAATTTACAAGGAATAATATTTCACACATTGATATTAAAGAATCTTTAAGAAAAGATTTTTTTCATTATTCTAGATTCTACTTTTTTATTAATTTAAATGAAAAAATATTTTTGGAAATATTAAAAAACCTTCATTTACTTTATTAAAATAAAATCTATATTAGAATGTGGACATGAAAGAATACACTCTAGATATCAATTCGTTTTACATAGAATTGTATCAAAACCAAGTCAAAATTCCTACATAGATAATCTTCCACAGTATTTTGATGAATTTAAAGTAGTGGAAAATATTATAATAAAAATAAATAAAAATACAATAAGCAAGGATTCTAACAATACAATCAATCAATATTCTTAGTTTTGCATTGCGATTGATCTAAAAAGTGGGTAGAAACTCTCATTTATAATTATTTATTCTATAAGAATTTAAAATAAAAGTATTTTTTATAATTATAATTTTTTACCTATTAAACCCAAGTTTTTCCATAACCTAGGCCATGGAATCAAGTATTATTAAAATTTGGTCAAAATCAAGAAAAAAAAGGAAACATCTTTGTGAAATATAGACACATTAAGAATACATAAATTGAGAGGAATTGTGATCTTTGTTTGACTAAACATTGATCAATTATGAGAAGCAAGATGACAAATCTACAAATAACTATTATTCAAAAAAAAATCAACACATAATAACAATATAATTTGGTATTGTGATTTTAACCTACACCAATAACTAGCTTATTGAAAGAATTTATAA